CCTCTCTGTCTATGTACATGTCTTATCCTTTATTGCCATATTCTATTGTGCTTTATTTACACCCTGTCTACCTATTCCTGTCCCTTTACTTTTCCTTATACAGTCCCCCTGTTTTTCATTGGATTGTGTTAGCTTTGTATTATTGTGCTTGTTTTGTCGGTCCGGCGGGCCGCGGGCGTCACGGCTGTCCGTGCTGCGCTCGCCGCGCGGACCTGCACTTCTCTACATATCAGGGGGGCTGGGTGGGACGGGTTGAGGGTAGCCGGGGTTAATTTTTTCTCTTTGCCTCTTTTTTCCAGCCCGCTCGCGGCCGCGAGCGGGTTGTGCTTGCACAACGCAGCCGGCGGCCATCTTGGATCTCGCGGCTCGCGAGACCCGCGACGGCCGCCCTGCCTTCACACACGGCGGTTCGGGAATCACCCGATCGCCGCAACGAACGTGGGGGATTGCCCTTAGGGCATTTTTGGTTGTCTCCCCCAACCCTCAATCCCTTACATTAGGATTTACTGTTAGGCAACCCCCACTATCTGTCACAGGACTTTCCAATCAATGTGAGGGGGAATAAAGCATGCACAATTTATGATGTTATAAGGCTGTGAATATCAGTGTTAACTGGGCATACTATTTAAAGGACCCCTGCAGGGATATATATACATATATTATACCACCCCTTAGGGGACTTGGCACTACTGTACCCTTCAAAGGGAAGATCATACCTGTTACCCTACACAGGGTCATATTATACTACTGCACCCTAGGGTGCACGCTGATGTGGGTGTCCTCTGGGTATTTTTTCATGGCACACCACCGGGGGTGACCCCCACAGACACGCATGCTAGGGCGCCACAGCCCATTTCAGTTGATGTGGGTGTCCTCTGGTCACTACGGCACACCACCCGGGGTAAACCCCGAGATTATGCACAAGGGCCTACGCCTAAAACGCCAATTCACGCATAGCCTGAATTTATTATTTACGTGCATTCTAAGCCTTCCACATATATACGTTTTACCGGCTGGACACATCCCGGTCGTGCTAAGAGTCGATCAATGTATGCATGTGACTTCCCCATGACCTGTCCACTGAACCTTGTTTTCACCCGATAGGTCGAATTACACCACAGATCATGGAAGATACCCAAGCCAGCCAAGATTTCCAAGCCATGATCAATGCCGCCATGGCGGCTTCTGTGGAAAAGGCCCTCTTGAGGGCACTACCCCCCAGCCGGGAAGCCACAAGCCCACCAGAGCGCACAGAAGCCTCGGGCTCGGAGGTGTCCAAAGCCAAGAGACAAAGAAAGACTTCAAGTCCATCCTCAACCGAGACTAAGGGCAAGTTACCCATCAAACGCGTTAAGAATGCGGTCCGCCGGCCCACCCCCTTCCCACCTCAATCCTCGGACGAGGAGGACACCTACGTCCCACATGCCTTAGACGTAGTGGACGAGTGGCATGGAGACGGCTCACATTCGGACGACGAGGAGTGGCAAGACCTACCACCCACCTCATCGAAATACGTCAAAGAGACCTTCGTAGACAGCCGGGACATGGAATCCGGCGGGGACCACCACACCGCTCAGGCCGAAGACGGTGCTTTCCTGGACGACCAGGGGACACTACTATTCGACCCACGCACCATCCGGCACCCACGGTCCTCAGAATGGACATTGCCGGATCACTTGACGAAGTTCATTCACTACTGGCTGCGCAAACCGCTGGAAAAGGAGGTACGGGCACGCCTCAGGGCTGAATGCCCCAGGCCACTAATTCCCGATAAAGTGGCACTGACGCCCAAATTCGACGACACGATGGTGGTCTTCATGTCACGCACGGGCAGGGACCCGCGCAAAGGGGTGGAGAAAGGCATGAAAGCGGCACAGGACAAGGTGCTGGATTTGCTCAGCCCCATCGCCAAGATGCTATACTTTGCTGACCTAGCCCTCAGCCACGACTCCCAACTAGACCCACACGTCATACGAGAATGGGCTCAACGCGCGGTGTGCCTGCTGGGCAACGCCAACGCCACCCTTTGCGTCGAGAGACGCAGGTCGGCTCTGATACGTATCGACAGCAAGCTTCTAGATCTCGGGGCTAAAGAATTTGGACCGAAAGCCCAGGGCTTGTTGTTTGGTGATGCCTTCATCATGGAACTCAAACGTCATGTGAACCTCTTCACCACCTTAAACAAGGCCCAAACCTCTCTCAAACAAGTGTTCCACACCCCATCAAGTAGAGGTGTTTTTGGAAGGGCTGGTCGGCAACGGAGCCGTGCCACCAGCCGATTTTGGGCCTCAGGTTCCAGATCATACCCGCAAGCCTCAAATTTCTTCCCCTCTTCATCACAAAGACCCTCAACATTACGAGGAACTGGGAGGACCAGAGATGTCAGAGGCCGTGGACGCGGCCGCTTTAACAATGGTGAGTCCCTCTATACACACGGATGCACCAAAGTTTATTGCTGGCAACCTATCTTTTTTCTTCCAGAACTGGGAGCTGATTACCAGGGACGCCTGGGTCCTACAGATGGTACGCGGCTTCGTAATAGACTTTGCCGCGCAACCCGTCCAAACCGCCCCCCCCCCCCGATCCACATGTCATCAGAACAAAACCGCCTGGTGGACGAAGAGGTCCACGCACTCTTCGAAAAGGTCGCGATTCAATAAGCACCGGACAGGGGAGGCTTCATGAGCAACATCTTCTTGGTCAAGAAAAAGACTGGCGAGTACCGGCCGGTTATCAACCTCTGGCAACTAAACTCTTTCGTAATCTACAGACACTTCAAGATGGAAGGAATCCACCTTCTCCAAGACCTCCTCGTCAAGAACGACTGGTTTACGCGCCTGGACCTCAAGGACGCGTACCTCGCGGTTCCGGTGGACAGGCACTACCGTCAGTTCCTACATTTCCAATGGAGAGGGCGGGTGTGCCAGTTTACGTGCCTACCATTCGGTCTCAGCTCAGCCCCGTGGTGTTTCACGAAGTTGCTGAGACCAGTGATGGCTCACCTCCGTACAAGGGGCATACGGTGTCTCGTATATCTGGATGATTTGCTGATTTTCTGCGAATCCGCCTCCAGACTACGATCGCAGACGAAGTTTGTAGTTCACTTGCTAGAATCTCTGGGGTTCGTAGTGAACAGACAGAAGTCGTCTCTCTCTCCATCCCAGTCAGTACAATTCCTGGGCTTCGACATCGACTCGAGGGAATGCGTGCTCAGCCTTCCCTCGAAAAAGATTGCCTCAATAAGGAAGGAAATCAGGCGGACTTTGCGGATGGACACGATACCGCTCAGGATGCTCGCTCGGATTGTGGGACTCCTGTCCTCATCCATACAGGCGATATTCCCGGGCCCTCTACACTACAGGGCCATGCAACGGCTGAAAGCGGGATATCTGCGTGCCGGTCATTCCTACGACCACTGGATCCCACTCACTCCGGAGGTGAGGTCGGAACTGCGATGGTGGTTACTTCACATACAAGCCTGGAACGGCAAGGCGATCTTCGGCCCCTCCCCGGACTTCATCGTGGAATCGGACGCCAGTTTGTGGGGATGGGGCGCCCACTGCTCGGATGCCTCCACGGGGGGCCCATGGCAGGGAGAGGAGACCAACCTACACATCAACTGCCTGGAGTTGATCGCGGGTTCCTTCGCCATCCGCAGCCTGGCCAAGGACAGGTCGAATTGTTGTATCCTACTCCGCATGGACAACATTTCGGCGGTGCAATACATCAACCGCCTAGGCGGGGCGAGGTCGAAAGACCTGACCGAAGCCACGAAGAACATTTACAGTTTCTGCCTACGGAGGAACATCACGATACAGGCGGAATACCTCCCAGGAGTCTCCAACCTGACGGCGGACTGGTTTTCCCGACACTGGAGAGACACCAGCGATTGGAAACTCAACGAGGAAATATTCCGGACACTACGGCGACGGAAGGGGCCACTATCAATAGACCTGTTCGCCTGCAGGACCAACCACCAACTTCAAAAATACTACAGCTGGCTCCCGGACCCGATGTCCGAAGCAGCGGACGCATTTCTTCAGGACTGGCCCTCTCACGGGGCCTACGCCTTCCCTCCATTCTCTATGATTCCACGGGTACTGCGGTACACACGCACTCACAGGATATCGCTCCTGCTCATAGCTCCTCTCTGGCAGAGTCAACCGTGGTTCCCGGACCTCCTGGAGATGTCCCACGACCATCCCATTCGGCTTCCGACCGTTCCACTCCTCCTGTCGGGACCTCGGGGGGAACTCCATCCCCTCGTCCTGGAAGGACAACTGGAACTGGTAGCCTGGACGATTTCAGGGGCTCCTGGTCGGTCCACGGCCTATCGCAATCTACTAAAGACCTCCTGTGGGACTCATGGGCTCCTGGCACCAGGAGATGTTACATCTCCGCATGGTCAGCCTGGAGGGATTGGTGCGTGGAAAGGGATTCCGATCCCTTTACTGCCTCTGTCCCACTGATCCTCAACTATCTCGCTCATCTTTTCTCGACGGGTCGATCATATAGATCCCTTAACGTGATCAGATCGGCTATTTCAGCGGCGCACGTCCCAGTACAAGGCAGGCCAGTGGGTCAAGACCCGCTGATATGTCGTCTACTGCGGGGCGCCAGACTTACGAGGCCCCCAGCGCCCAAGTATTCCAGCCTCTGGCAAGTTAATGGGGTGCTGGATTTCCTTCGGGGCTGGCCAGATAACCCTTTTCTATCACTGAAACAGCTCTCAGCTAAACTGGCCCTTTTGCTATGCCTCGTCTCTTTCCGACGGGTGTCTGACATTAGGGCGTTTGACGTGGACGGTTTCTTCCTCACCCCGGAGGGAGTCGCCTTTTCCATATCAAGACGGACTAAATCGGATTCGTCCTCGGTGACTTACCCGTATTTTGATTCCGACCCCAAGCTATGTGTGGTCAAGAGACTGTTGAGGTATACGGAAATCACGGCCACCCTTCGGCGTTCCCTGACGGGTCAGCTACTGATTTCTTACGTAAGGCCTCACGGACCGGTGTCTACTATAACCCTGGCCAGATGGGTTCTCTGGCTTTTAAGGTTAGCAGGAGTCGACTCAGGCTTCGGAGCGCATTCGGTCAGAGGGGCGGCAGCATCCCAAGCCTTCTTGGCAGGCGCCTCCCTAACCGACATCATGCGTTGCGCGGACTGGACACGGGAGAGTATGTTTAGGACATTCTACTTCCGTCACTTCTCTCACGCTTCCTTCACACTGGTCTGGGCTGAGCTTTAAAAATGCAAATATGAAGCCTCCTGTCATGTAGTAAAATTGAAGATTATATTAGCTTTAGTGTACTAATAATCTTAATTTTAATAATGACAGGAGGCGAATATTTCCCACCCGTTGGATCCCGCCCAGGTGAGTTTGTACTATACAGATTGTGTTCGGTGTTCAGGAAGACATACATGTTACTATTGTACTACCTCTTAGGAGTCCACATGTTCAGTACCGTAGTTGTATTCTTGGTCGTACTACTTGCACTATATGATGTTTTCTCCTTATCGCATGTCGTAGCTTGCAGGTTATTTATTTGGGTATTGATAGGTTTTTTTTCACAGTATTATATACTCTGGGAAGTGTTACAGTTTTTCGTAATATTTATGGTATGTGGGCACGTTGCCACTTCAGAAACCTTTCACTTTTTTCTTTTTCTTTCAGCATGAACGTCTTCTCTACGGGACAAAGTTTCACCTTCCATACCGTTTGACCATGGAATTGCCGGAATTGGTTTCTCTGCTACGTTTGTTGAAATGTTAACGGACTATGTTTATGTTGTTGTTGTTTATCATTCGCTTCAAAGAAAGAGGAAGTGATGTCATAGACAGGGCCTTATATGGGCACCATATCTTTTCTCTGATTGGTTGTTACTGTTTCTATGCTGCTGGAGTTTTCAGTAAAGAAGGATATGCAAATATTCACCTCCTGTCATTATTAAAATTAAGATTATTAGTACACTAAAGCTAATATAATCTTCAATTTTTCTCTGATGTTGGGGTGAGTTTAGAGGAAATAGCATTCAAAATCAAATCCTATAGTAATACTGAACCCAAGTATAATATATAAATTTAACCTTTTTATTGACAATTAAAAAAAAAGAGGTGAACAAAGCATCTGTCAAGCAAAGACGTACAAAACATCCTAAAGTTTCATTCTCAATGCAATGAAGCAGAATAATAATATGCATTTAAATAATATGAAATGGAATTAAGTAAAATTTAATAGATTTCCCATCTGAACTCCTTGTCTCCTTGTCCTCGGATCTGCTACTCATGTTATATCTTTTAAAGCATCGAATGTAGTGTTATAGCTGACACGGGAATCAAGAGAGGGGTGAGAGTAATTTTAATCCATTATACAAATGATCTGATGAAACTGCTGAAAGGTTTTATGAGAATGTTAACATAATACATAGAAATCGTTCAGATTAACCAGTTGGTTTGTGCTCTGTTGGTTAATGTAAAGTTCTCGTCGGTGACAGATCTGCTTTAATTGAACAGCTGCTCCTGCCGTCGCTTCATTGTTTACTTAATTGTAGTGTCTGTTAAATGATTTTAAAAATGTAAAGCACCAGCTTGATCTTGAGAACGAGAGATCAGTTTCGCAGTATGATCAGAAATACACAGAGTTCTAGACATATATAAATTTTCAGGAATTTAAAGTTCATTAAAAAATAAAATGTAAATATTAGTCTAAAATAGCCAGTCTAAAAACATACTCTAAGTGAGAGCTAGGCAACCTCCGGCACTCCAGTTGCCATGGACCACATCTCCCATAATGCATTGCCAGTATTATGGCTATACGAGCATTAATGGAGATGTAGAGCACAACATCTGGAGTGCCTAAGGCTGCCTAACCCTGTTAAGTTTAAGTGCCTATCTGTAGAGTGCAGTGCAAAAAACAAAAACACTTCGGCAAAGTGCATCAAACAAATAATGCAATCGTTTTACTTGTGCAAATATGTTTTATGTGCTAAATATCACAAGATTTCATTGTGCAAATGAAACTTGTGCAATATGTCACAATAGTGCAATTTCTTACCAACCTTAATTGTGTTAAAACACTTGTGCTATACACTTACAATCTGTTCTTTAAAATCGCTCAGTATATTATAGTACATATATAAAATTCACTTTAGTGACTAATGATAAAGGTTATTCACTGTACTGTGACTTGTCATTAAATCAAAATAGTTCAAATAAAACCACAGCTGACTTGGATACATTTCCACTCTAGCTACATTTTGAAATTCACTTCCTGACAGTTCACAGCTTTGTGATGAACCCTTTCTATCTGGAATTTTCTGCATTACATTATATTTGTTTTGTAATAGTAGTGATGGGATCCTGGGGAAGGCAGTAGTGAAGAGTGGAATTGCGGTAATGGGATAGAGGTTGGTGAGATAGAGAGAGCGGTGGAGGGAAATGCAAACAGAGATACGTTTGCTTAGTTGCCGTGGGAGACAAGTGATGGTGAGAACTTGTTAGAATGTTGGGTAGAAGAGATGAGGTGTGAAAGAGGATGTGGAGGAGAGGTGTCAGGAGGAATACAGTTTGAGAGGAGCTTGTTTATGTGCACTCGTCGCGGGAGGTAAGAGGTTTTGAAGATACAGGGGGAGGTGAGCCATAGGGGAGAGGCTGTACAATATAGCAGATGGGAGAAAAGTGATGGGAGTGGTGTAGTGTGAGAGATACACTTAACGAGACATTGAATCGAAGTTCAAATTTAAGGTTAACATAGCCAGTCAAAATTCTCCAAATCATCTACGCTTCCAGTTCGACTACTTTGGCATTACATTTGAAATCTCACTAACCGTGGAAAGAGTCAGAGATGTGTTGGAAGTCAAGAAGTGAGATAAAAGCTATAGGGTAAAGGGGAACCTGAAAAAGGCGGTGGAGTGGGATTGTTTACATGCAGTGGGAGAGATGTAGTCGTGTATATAGTGTGTGTAGTGTATTAGTGTGATAAAATCTGGCAAAAGGCAGCAATGGATCTAGAGAGGTTACTTACAGTAACAGAATGGATATAGCAATGAATTTGGAGAGACAAGACATGTAGTGACTGGGAGGCAGTGGTAGAGAGACGGTTTAGAGAGAAGTTATGTAGTTCAACCAAGTTTCAAACAAGGGATCCTAAGATTTTAAAGAGCCTTGAAAAACCTAAATTAGTATTATTTGTCTGTGTGGCAAAATAACCAATGTACTGTTGAAGCAAATAGACCGTTATGCAGATCAGGATTCCTTAATCTGTAACAAGCACAGGATACTGCCGTAATATATTTTTTTAAGTTTGGAGTGGTTATTCTGCCAAGTCAACTTGTTTTAAACAGTTTGACTCAAACTGAGGGTATCCTTATCCCCCATGGCCAGGTTTCTCAATAGCCATATCAATAATGGGGAAGTTCCATATCCCCGTTAGCAACATTAATTTTGTCCACGTTTGGATGAGATCCATTGGCTGTACTTGTCGGCTGCCATCTAAATATGAACAGAATGGATACTGCTAACACAGTAATGTAACATGGATAGTGAAGGGCCAGGCCCCACTTAGCATTGAAGAGCAAATATGTAAACCCCAGGACTCATTCTGATCACTACCCCCAACACATGCATTAGATACTAGAATCATATATTGGTTGATCAGTCATGTGCATCCATGTCCAGAGGCATTTTTTTCACATACCACTAGGAAAAAAGCATTGATTGGCAGTGAAATATCTTTTAATTAATTTTTTTATCTGCCAGGCACAATTCCCGTCTTCATCTCAACCTTCAGGAGAGCTGGACATTCTTCCTTAGGAGTGAGGGAAGGGAGCGGTGCTTAGCAGAACCAATGCAAGAAGTAAAACTGCATAAAACAATTTGACTGCTTACAACTGGGGAGGCTGCAGTGCACTCCTGGCACCATAAACATTACAGCATGTTGTAGTGGTAATGGTGCTTGAATTTTCTCTTTAATATGACCCCGGGTTCTTGTTCCCGATTGGTTGTTTATCTTTGCATTGTTAAAAAAAAAAAAAACTCTGTTAAAGTAATGCAGAGGCAATTTACGGTAAAACTTTTAAAAGAGGGGGAAGGTCATAAAATTAAACATGGGTAACAATTATGCTACTAGCAGAATAATATCCAGGTCAGGCTGACTGATATGTATCATTAAAACTATCATAAAAGCTGCTGAGCCGTTTATAAAGATAATGAAACATATATGTGCTTTTTATGATTCAAAATTATTTTGGGGGGTGTCTCTGAACACCCCTATTATAACTGTATCCAAATAAATCTCATTGGACAATTCTTACCAATCTGGTTTAAGTGATACCAAATAATCCATAGAATAGCAAACAGCACATTGTTGCTAGCCGATCTGTAATCACTATTCAGAAGAGGCTTATTTTAATTAAGGTTGCGACTCATGCTGTACATAAGAAGACTTTAAATTAATCCCAGTGCTACTGATTAAGTTGTTGTGGCTAGACAGGTCCTTAAAGACTAACCCTTTAAGTGCCTGGTGGCCTTTAATGGCACTGCAAAGCTCACAACCATCAAAGAGTTAAACATGACTTCTATACAGGCACTGCACGCATAATAAGATTATGTAACCAAAATTAGTTCTGTTTCGTGATGTTTTCCACTGATGGTAATATCCTCTTATTTAATTAAGTAAGCAAGCATGATCATATTATTACGAAGTCCTTCTTTTGAGTGAAAATAATTTACTATTACAATTATTTAAACTCTGTTGGGGTTATTTACTAAATCCTGGATTTTGTCCAGATGGACAAATCTGGGGGAAATGACCAAATTCTGAATTTGGTCTCCTCGATTGCAAGTCTGCAACAATCGTCCAGATGCATTCAGTGTTCGGATTAAAATCTGTGCTTTCGCATCCAAATCCTACATAACATATAGGTTTGGGAAGATTTACAAGCACCGTTTATAATAAAATTTAGGACCGAATTCATTCGGTAGGATGTATATTAACAAGTTATCATTCGCTTGCTTTCATGCAAGTGCTTTCGTAATCTGAAGAATGATCTGCCCAAATCCCGGTTCTGACAAATTGATTAAAAAAAACCTTGGTGGAACAACGGTTAATTATGTGGTAGCTGACCAGCACTTGCTAGTTATTAAAAAAGTTAAAGAAATTAATTAAAATCCTATGAGAGTCATTTAGACAACCGTCTATAATGGAGGTATTTTACCTTGCTATCAAC